GAAACCAACTGAACTCTCTTAGCGACTTGCCTCCACCACCACCAGTGCCCGATCAGGTTTGTTGGACTCTCATTTGTAATTGTATTACTCTGCTTAGTATTAACTTTTCTAAATCATTCTGTATAGCACCTACCCAAAATGTCTTCACCAAATACGGCACCACCACCACCGCCACCACCACCACCTGTAGATGAAGGCATGGGCAGTCTTCATGCACTACATCAACACCAAGTTGTACCCAAAACGCATTCCAATGGGGAAATACAGCAAGGCCAACTGAATGGTGGGCCGCAAATTGTGAGTGCGAAAAAGTTACTGCCTCCTTTCCACGATCCCCGCAATGATTTAATGAAAGCTATTCGAGATGGTATGTGCCATTTAGTAATCAGTAACTTGAGTAATTTAGTAGCTCACAATCAAATGTTCATTTCAGGCATCACTCTGCGTAAAGTGGAAAAGTCCGAACAGAAGGAAATCGAACGCAACACGGCACCTCTTGATGTGGCATCGATCTTGGCAAGACGTGTGGCAATTGAGTTGTCTGAGTCTGAAGATTCGGATAGTGAAGACGACAGCGAAGGTTGGATGGAACCAAACGAAACATCGGCTTGATCCCTGATGCATTCGATAAATCCGGTCGTAATATTAAAGAATAAGAAGAAGAAGAAGTAATTCCAAAGAGAATTAATCCATAGGATGGTATTTAGCAAGCGTGGTCTGCAATTGGATTACTTAGAAGCACCAAAGCTTTTCAACCACTCTTATATAAAATATTCATATTCCTACATTATCCATATATTTAAAAACGGAAACTAACAGAATTGTATATACAAACGAGTAATTATATTATCGTTAAATCTATCGATATAGCCAGTATGAGTATATATAAGTCAAGCTGTTGGGAAATACTCCCCTGCGACTACATAATTAGAAGTGTCTAAATAATTATGGTATTTTTTGTATTATAGTAGTTGGTGTTTGGGTAATAACCTATAAATATCCGAAATGAACACTAAACTCAATCCTATCCCTACCCAAAAATCTGAATTACCGAAAAAAATTTGAATACAGTTAAAATAACAATATGATTCATATTGAAAATTTACTATTCTGTATATACGAAAATATGTAAAGATATAAAACTTGGATAACAAGCTTAATCACACAGATATAAATTGTATCGTCTACCAATCTGTAATAAAAATATTTTAAATTAATCACATACTAATAGGAACCTATATATCATATGTATATGGTTATATATGCATACAAGTATACATGTATTTCTTTAAAACAAATATAAAATAAAGTAAATATTACCCAAAATATACATAAACGAGAAGGAACGTTGTAAGACGCGTTGGTATGCATCAGTTTTTTGAATATTTTCTTTTTATATGTTAACATAATGTTTTTTTGTTCAGTTCTATATACCTTTTCAAGCATTTCTTTAAATTTGTCATCACTTTCAAAACGTAGGACTTATCGAGGTCGTTAAAATATGTATTTTATATGACATACGAACAATTCTCTAAGGACTGCATTCAGAGAATAGGGTAGTTGAGAGAGCAGTTCCCATCCTAATGGATAGATTTTTGCAATGAAAGCTGGACACCGTTTCATTATCCGATGAAGGAACTTTTTCTTGTCACAATGTGGTCGTTGGGGCAAGACATGAAATTCTTCAGTGATGGTCTGCTAAAATTCCCGACAAAATTACCAAATTTGACAGGACCGTTTGAAACCTTCTCCGCAATGAGCTGATATGGGTGGTTAGAAATATTTATTTTGGTACGTCCAATTGCTTTTTGATTAACAAGAAACTTTCCTTTAAACATTTATCCCTTAACTTTTTCAAAATTTTAAATACTTGTACATTGCTTATGAGCATAACTGTAATTAACTTTTCACTAAAGATATAAAATAAAATAAAAATGCTACATTCGAAGCACAAAACTTAAGTATGCTCCCTTCAATCTACGATCAAAATCGTAGTGGAGATAAACTTACAAATAGAAAAACTTTTTCTCAAGCGCACTCTGTGGAATGGCGTGCAAATGGGTTCCTACTAGGGTAGCTAGTTTTTTAGCATACTGGCAAACAGCAGGTACACGTGTAGTTCCCGACCAGTTATAGTAGAGATGGCACATCTTATATGTGAGCTTTTGGATTTGGTCAGGGCTGAGACGAATGTTGCTGTAGAGCACATTGTAGCTCGTTGGAGAAACGGTTCCCTGCCGAACCGTCTGTGACACCAAGTAGAAATCGTATCGTTCGGGCAGAGTCACAATATCATCAACTACCGTTCCAGGGGGGGGATTTCTTGCGTTGTTAAAGAAACGTGTGTTGCAAGACTTAGTGACCACAATGTATGCCAGCATCGGTGGAGCACTATTGGCACGCTTATATTCAGTATCAAGCTTTTCCACAATATCTTTCACTTCGTATTCAAACAACTGCTTCAAAGATCCTGCGCTAACACCGTCACGATAGAATAGTATGCGTGCTGGTAACTTATCATGCTCTCTCTGGTATTGTCTAAGGGCCTTAGCTATCATTGGCCAAAGGTTATTAGACAGCACATCAAAGGCACTGCACTCTGATACCGTGCTAAAGTAAGTTGAATTCCGCTGGAGATCCATTGAAGCAACTAAAGCACCATAAGCCTTGCGGCGGTCACGTGCGCTTTTGGCAATGTCAAATCCAATGGTCATTAAACCGGAAAGCGGCAACTCAATCATCCATGGTGTATAACCCAATTTACAATTCATTTGAATTGCTATTTTTGTTGCAATACTCATTAGGCCTCGATTTTTTGCAGTTTTTACAGTCACAACTTGAGTAGGAACGGCTCTATCAATACAGCCTCTCTTTTTTATAGAAGAATATCTGAAAAACATGGATTATATTGTACATTGAAATTATTGGGCTATTTAGATTATCAAACCTTTCTTCATTGTTGTTGGGAACAAAACACAAGATTAATTTTGGATCCATGCGAACACACTCATCCATAGCTCGCACATATGTAGCAGTGCGATCATCGTAAATTTTTATTCTAAAATTAAAGGCGGTTATTTAAGGAGAGCACATTTTGAAGTGTTTAGCTTACTCGTGGGGGCTTCTTATTTTGAACCCCATACCAGAAGCTGCTCGAAACAAACTTTCCAGCAAATTTTTAAGGTCTAACGAATTGCGCTCCGGTGCAATTACGGCCCAACGGTCGAGACCATCACTGGGAGTAGTGAGCATACGTTGGTCACGAAAGCACCTTGTCCAATCAGCAGTTTCGCCAGCAGAACATCTGAAATACACAATATTTATATAAACGAGGCGGAGCGTTGAGACGCGCTCAAACGCGTTACACCTTTTATGCCGGGTACTCAGTCAGTATGATTGGGAAACGGAAACGTTTCTGTTTATGTGTAATATGCATCCACTTTTACTCTTCAAGTACAAGGTATAAAAACCATTTCATTGGGGACTCACTTTGATTGATTAAAGACAATTTTCTGAGGTGAAATTATACGTCCCTGTACTTCTGTAAGATTTCCATCGAGTTTCATGTCCCAGTCTTTTAGAACTTTCACACTATCTGCAGTGGTTTGCAAACGATTGTTGAATCTACGCAAACGATCAATACGGCGGTCGGGATTCATGCGTGTGTGATCAGTCATTGCGCGCATTAGTCTGTAATAAAGAAAGTGGCACATTTTAAAATGAATGTAATCATAAGCTCTTAAAATAGCTATATTTTCAAGTCTTACTGAAAATTTGAGCGCATGTTGTCAGTTAGTCCCGTAACCCGGCATAGTTCTGGAATAAGGACTACGAGTTCATTGGCATTGGTCTTCTGAGCCTTGTCCCTATTTTTTGAAATTAACAAGGGTTGATTGTGGTCACGAATGCGTATGTTATATTTCTAAAATATAAAATATAATGAGTTTATTTATAGGCGACCGGTCGTTTTTATTTGTACTTACAGTCAGATAGTACTCGATAAAACTAACATCTTTCCCCTTGCAGCTAAATTTAGATTTTGGGGTTTGTGAAAAATCAACATCGTTAATGCGATATGTTTTGTTGTTATAATCTGTAAGAACAACTAAATCTAGAACATTCACGCGAAACTCGTCTTGATGGCGTGAAGGGTTATTAGAACAACGTCTCAGTATCTCATACACAGTTTCAGTGCGCATAACTTTATGTGTTATCTCAGTACACAGCATAATATCTTTTTCGTGTTGTCGGACCGAGGTTTCGTATCCTGGCCAGAGTTCCATTTGAAATTCTCGAATCGGTATCTAAAAATATTCTATGTTTGTATAAAGTAATTTAAAAAAATGTACATCAATCTGCTATACCTTTGCGAGAGGATCAAAAAGATTGCGTCCAACCAACTCAAGCTTTAGTCCTTTCATGGAGCGGCGCAAAATAATGTTTAAAACTTGCAAAAACCGGGGTTCTACGTTCGATATAACTCCAACATACTTTACGGAGATTTTGTAGTCAATACCCATTTTTGATTGTCCACACAGCACAGTTAACTCCTTATCAAATTTTTTGTTTGTGAAAAGTTGTTTTCCATCAAATAAATAGCCGGATCCCAAAATATTAGCGTGATTTGAGAGAATGCCCATACGCACGCGTATATTTTCCAACTCAGGCTCAAAATCCACATGGTAGTGAACTACACGCCACTCTGGCTTGGTTTGTATTCGAAAGAAGTTTGATTGCAAACGAATAGGCTCTCCCTCATGGCCTTTCTTCGACACGACATCAGCTGGACGGGTCTTCACAATATCATAGCGATCCAAGTGCTGCCGTTCCTGTGTTGGACCACCGCCCTGTCTCGATGATGCATGAGATGGTTCACGAGTGGCTGAAGTGCCACTTGATCGACCCGATGTGGAAGCCTCAGAAGGTCCTTTGAAAATCTTTGCACGCTGCGAAAAATATGAGAAAAAATTATATTACAATTATATTCATTTTACAGATTTTAATTCATATGTACACGCATTGGGCATTGGTACATTAATGCGATCATCATTCATCTTCATGATGAAATAAGAAGGGTCGTTTTTCTACAGATGTGAGTATTATAAACCATACAGTACATATGTTTACATGCACGGAAACACATCTCACAATATGACTCAAGGGCCATCAGAATTCTTTAAGTATTTGCATCTGTCTAAGAGGAACTTCTGCAGCCCTTTTGGATTGGTGGAGCGATAGTTGGTCCCGCACGCAATGTAACTTACGGTCGCTTTACACGCTGATTCTGATTCGCGTAGAGCTTTAATATATGTGAGGCATCATGCTTTGTTCACACGTGGAATCATTTTTCTTGGGTCTGTGACTTGGCAACATGAAGCAACTGGCGTTCAAAGAAATTAAACAAATAAAAAATCCAAATAAATTCAATATATTCTCATTCATCTATAATAACACCACCCGACACGATTTTTATACCCGGTACTCGGAGAGAAAATAGGGTATATTGTATTTGTGTGAAAAAGTAATTGTATGTAATGCAGAGAAGGAAACGTGTCCGACCCCATAAAGTATATATATTATTGATCAGCATCAATAGCCCAGTCGATAAAGCTAGAAGCACCGCAAATGCAAAAATGTTGATAGATGGTATTTTTTACGATATTTTGACTTTAAAAACTAGGGAAAAGTCGAAAAAAATAATATATTGTGTTCTCTATTTTTGTATGTTTAGGTGCATTCATTCGGCATCGTTTAAGGTACAGCTCATCAAAATCTATGTCTTCGCACTCAAACGCAAAAACGAAGCGCGCTGTATGCGTGCCGAGCCCTGATCTACATTCATACATGACGTACACATGCATATGTATGCGTGTTTACATACCAGGCTTACAGCTTAAAGCATGCAGTTCCTTTGAAAACGCTTGTAATTTTACCCTAACGAAAGTAAGAGTTGCTGATGTTTTTTCCATTAATCAAAAGATATACATTCTAACTATGTAGATTGCAGGAATAATAAAGTTTAATATTCAGGTATGTACTTGATTTTAACTTTGATATTAGAAAATATATAATTTTCAGCATTTCCATTTTATGTACATATGTATGTAGTTGTTCGGAAATAATTGTTTGAGTTTGTTTGCTAGTACTAGTACTTGTAATAGTATACATGCATACATACAATAAGAATCGTTTTTGTTATTCTAAAAATGCTCGACTTTACCGTTATAACTGGTGGTCGCACGACGCCTTGGAGAATATGCCCACATATGGGGCATACATACATACACACCGATATACTCTACAATGTAGTCTACAAACATACAGATGTGTGCATGTACAAAGGCACATGAAATTGTTTGCGCAGCAGATATTCGTGTTGGGTGTATTGTCCAGCGCTTCGAGTATTTTATTTGAGACAAAAATCTAAGCCGAAAAATGCAATATACATACATACATACATATGTATGTACATATTTACCTACAACTTTGCATGCTTCGGGTACTTGAGCATTTATGTCTGTATTTATAATTGTAACGGAACTTACATTTTATGAATAAACTGGAAGTATGTACATATGCATGTATGTGCGTAGTTTTATATTTTTCAGTGCTAAAAGTATTCAACAACATTGTTAATCTTTTAGGAATAACTGTAATTTAAGATTTAAGACTCTTGGTTCACACCAGGTCGCAACTATCAATGCACAATGCTTTCAGAATTTGCAAACATTCATACATTTCCATACGATCTAGGCAAAATAAATAATACATACCGGCTCCTCTCTTTTATCAGTCGTACTAGATCCAGGTTGGTCGAAAGATTCATACAATGCCCCGAATGGACGTCTATGTCCACGTCCCTGATTGTCCGACATTTTTCACACAAGCACACAAAAAAATGGACGCGCCGATGCTTTAAAAGTTTTGAAATGATCGCAATCAGTGCGACTAGGGTTGTCAAATATATATATTTTTTTAAATTTAATCGCTACAGCGAAACTGGTTGGCTGCAAACGATGATTCCGCATTGACCAGGTACAAATGTTACTAAAAATTTTGAACTCAAGGAGTTGTTTGCCGAACGAACACTAGAAGTAGAATGGTTGTCCAATATATGTGAAAAAAATCCATATATCTATATATTTTTAAAATAAAATCCTATTTATATCATTTTTTTCCCAAAATAACAATTTATTGATATGTTATTGCTATATTGTTTTAAGTTCTTTAAGTAACCAGAGGATCTAAATAAATATATAGGGTATTTTGTATTTGTGCACACAAGTGGATGTATATAACGCACAGAAGGAAATGTTTCCGACCCCATAAAGAATATATAATCAGTTGTTAGTAGTATTGATCAGCATCAATAGCCGTGTCGATTTGGCCATGTCTGTCTGTCCGTCTGGCAGTCTGGCTCAGAGACTATAAGAGCTAGAGGCACCGAATTTTGCTCCCAGATTGCTGTGATATCACACTGATAAAAGTGTATGTACGAAGCGGCCGACACGTCCCTATTCGTTTAGCCTTCGAAACTGGGATTTTCTGGACTTTATACGGACACCGCATGTGTGTGTTAGTGCGTTGACTTTATGAACATATGAAAGGTTTCTGTTTTCTTTATGGTAGCTGTTTATATCCGATGCGTACGGAATTGAATTTTTGCATATATATAATTTTTTTTTTGGTTTTTAATTGCAGACGATGGGTCCAGGTACTTTATGTTGAATATTAGAACAAAAAAGGTTATGAACATTTTGAACTCAAAAAATAGTTGTTTGCCGAACGAACACCAGAAATAGAATGTTTGCAAATATATACAAGCAAATAAATATCAAATATCGATATTTTTGCAGTGATATATTTTATATTATTTCGTTATTTTTTCCAAGCAAAATATATCACCGGTGTGATATTTCTTAAATGTTTGACAGCCCTATTTAAAAGTTTGGAAATGATCGCAATCAGTGTGACCGCGGATTTATCGATCATATATAGCGTCTGGTGCTCTGACATACACAAACCTTTGCCACATCTATTCTGGTGTGAAGTAACTTTTGAAACATAATATAATATGCTTTACATACTTGTGTATCAAATTTGAATACAGGGGTCCAAATCTGGCTTTCAGATGGGAATAACATAAAAAAAGTTGTTAGTGTGAGCTTTTATTTGTATATTTAATTTTTTTTGTGAGCCAAGTGAGCGGACCCACCCACTCTTGACTTCTAACTGCGCCTGAGTACCGGGTATAAAAGTAGTGACGCGTATCAACGCGACTCACAACGTGCCTCATCGTTTCTTTTTATAGCTTCTCTTTTAGGGCTTAGTTATATGGCATTGTTGTTAAACTTAATCCAGCCTTATTTTGTAAATAATTTATTCTTGTCGGATTATAAAGGTACGAATTTGCATTGGTAACAACGTCACAATAAACTCAGAGACATCCATTGTATAATTACCATTCATTGGCTTATGCGGAGTAGAGAAGTAATTAACTGAAGAAGGAATATTACCGGTACCGTCTGGGTGAAACTTGAATCTCTTCATGTGTTTTAGGGGCATATTTCCATCTAAAGTTACTTCCCAAATCTGTCGCCCAAGCAAAGATTTAAAAAGTGTATGCATGTTAAAACTTTGTATGCTTCCACAGGAATTAAAGTTCTCCACCCGTAAAAGAATTTTGTTGGTTGAATAAGGTTCAAGGGATAGAAGCTCGATTGATTCCGGAAAATCGGTAAAGTCTGGGATCATATGTTGAACTATGGAAGGAACGGTATTTGCTTTACTGAAAAACTTATAAAATGGCAAATGCAGTTCATGTTGGGTTAAACGCTCGGTGCATGCTGGATTTTTATGAACTGCATTCAGAATAAGAAACAGTTTTCCTCTTGCTATCAAGCCCGTACCAAACTGTTCTTCATTAAGAGCTTCGCCGAGCCCAAACGCATCGTCATTTAATAAACGACGATGTAGCATCAATTCCAATTCCCCATCTTTCAAGCTAGTTCCACCCTGTGAGCGATCATTTAGTAGATTTATACGTTTATGCTCATCTTGTATGTACATTTGTGAGGTAACTGGATAGTAGTTGCCACTTATTTCTTCTGTCATATCTGGTTTGAAGAATTCTCTTTGGTTTCTCTTTCGCTCAAGCATTTCACGACCATTGGAATCTGTGTAAAACGTGCCATTTGAGGACAAGTTGCTTGTAAAGCGTGTAACAATTTCTTTTCCGACTCCATCGTCTGTTGGGATTGGCCCAATTAGCCATTCAAACTCCACTCGGTTTACCGCCTCATAAATTCTTACTACTTGAGATATCCAATCGTTTACATGTTGATGAACTTCCTTAACATTCTTACCATTGTAAATTGAAAATGTTGTTTTATCGTTTGGCAATTCAATGTCTCCGTCTGGACGAAAAACATATGCACCTGAGGATCGATTTTCAGCTAAGCCATTGTTGCCACGAAAGCCCTTGTAAATGGCAAAGCTTTGATGAATATTTTCGGTTACACCATTCATTTCTATGGTTTTTAGGAGACCGGTACGATTATTGAATACAAGCTTCACAAGCTAAAAAGATATTGGACTTGATTGAGGGGAAACACTTTTATTGTGTCTTACTTACCGAGTTCTCCAAAGTAAATTCATCAGAATCGTTTTCAGATATGGGTTTTGTCTGAGCGTTGATTGAGTCATTTTTCTGCCTTGGAAAGGGGAGTACGCGAATATAGAAGTTGGCAATTTTGTTCACATTGGCTTTAAAGACTAATTCATGCTGAGTGACACCCGAACGGTGTTGAAGAGCTAAAATTTCCAATGGCACGGGTACAAGCTCCGATGGTACTTCACGACCTAAATAAAAATAGTTTGCTTATAATATACATTTAAATTAATCATCATCACTATTACCGTTTTCATCTGTGACTTGATAGTTCTCTTTGCTTACAGGCAAACGTACATATTGTGAAGAAGAATGAGCCAGCGGGTTAACTAATGTTACTACAATGTTGTTGGCACTTGACTGTGTAATCGCGCAAACACTTATATTTAATTCTAAGCAACTTTGGAACTCCCCACTAGTAAGATTAGTTAAAACACGTAGAGCATTCCGAGCATTATTATTGGCACCATTAATTGCTTTGAATAACATACGGTCGTAGTCGTGGGCAACTGCCTGTTTTTCAGTGCCCGTAATAGCATCATGATGCTGCATAACACCCATTGCCTGCCGCAAGTTGCTTAGGGCTTCTTTATGCTCAGCGCTGGTAAGGTTAGCAAGAGTGCTAAGTTGCTTAACCGTCTGAAGGAAATGATTTCCATCCCGCTCGAAACGTTTTTGGGTGGGACGTGAAGTAAAATATCCAGTCCAGTAGGAGTGAGTGTCGCTGGAATATGGAAAAAAGTCCTCGGTTTTGTTTGGCCAACTTT